ATGTAAACTTATAATAAAGCGTGGTCAGAACGATACAAATCATGACGCTGACTGAAATTCATACGTCGCGTATACTGAATTGCGAACTTAGATGATAAAGCGCGTGGGCGGCGAAGCACGTGTTTGCGCGTTAAACGATCATCCAAGAAGGAAGAAATCAATCATGGCGTCGATCGTGCCGGTTTCGGCTTGGAGAGGGGACCACGTGGACAAAGAGGGCCTGAGAGGTGCTGCCGCTGTCGGTAGCGAAGCACCAACGAAGTATTTTCGTTGTCAAATTCGTCGTCCTGCGAGAATTTGGAGAATTTCGCCAACAATAGCGCAAGAAGTGTAACGTCCCGCTTGAAGAAGCCAACACCTTTTGTTTTGTATTTTTTATGTTTATATATTAATTTTAGTTTAAGTTTTGTAACGTGGTGACACCCGTGCCCCCCCCCCCCCCCCCCCCCCCCCCCCGTTATAGTCGCTGCGCTTCTCCCACCTCACATTCCCACCTAAAGATAACCCTTCACCCTTCCCTCATCAAACCCCTTTTCCCTGCCCACCGGTGTCGGGCCGATGGAGGCGACGGAAAATCCACATGGAATACCTGCAGAAGGAGCTTCGAGGCCGGCGACAGACACTCAACCCTTTAATGAGAAAGGAGCGACGTGGGACTTCGGAAAGAAAGACGAAACTGCCTAAATGATGTCAAAACGTCCACCCGGAGCCATCTGTCGCCGAGCCCGAAGACCTCAGCCCACCCGTCATCGTAGGATATCCGCCAGTCCCATCGACCCCGATCACCGGCATATCGACAATCGATTATCGATCTATCCCGTAGCCGAAAGAGGCACCTTCCTAGACCCATTCCCTCCCCAAAATTTTACCGCGACGGTCTCGTCGTCGCAACGGCGACATTGAGCCCTAGGCTAGCTAATAGAGAGTAATAGAGAGTAGTAGAGTGAGAGTTGAAAAGCGATTTTGTAAAGAGCGAGTTGTGAGAGGCGAGTTTGAGTGTGAGAGGTGTTTTGGGTGAGTCCCTTTCGATATTAATATTGTAGTGTATTCGCGTTCGCGTACCATTTACCCCTTTGATAATACGTTTTGTGGAACCCCTTCGTCCTACCCTTATCATCCCCGTCTACAATCATCCTTCTACGCGTAACGTAACGGACTTCCTGTGAACCCTTTCTCCTACCCTGAGATTTCTCCCAGCCCTAGACAATCCTCCCCGCGTACTCCCCCGCGGAATATTGTACGGACGTAAGTGCCACGAGTCTCATCCCCTGTAACAACCCCAATTCTGCCCCTTTTCCTTTTCGGTTTTGATCGCCACGAGACATGGCTGGCGCCCAGCGTATTGTATTGTTAAAGAAACGAATTTGAACTGTCCCGCGACTTATTGTAATTGTGATAATAAAGTATAGAATGCACCCACGTAAATCGGGTCACAGTTTATAGAAATGTTTAATTTAATTTTTATTATAGTAATTAATTTTAGTTAAAGTTTATAAAAAGCGTTTAATTTAATTTTTATTATAGTAATTAATTTTAGTTAAAGTTTATAAAAAGCGTTTAATTTAATTTGTACTAAATATTTGTGTAATAATAAAATAATTTTCGTTTCAAATTCTATAGATAATTCAGTCTAGACAGTAAGTTGATAAATGTCTAGTCGGTAAGTCGGTTGGTAAATCAAGTTATCGATAATTGATCGACGTGCGACCACGTATGCGGCAGCGGAACCCAGATGATCACGCGGCGGGGTGAAATCTTAGAGTAGGGAGACCGCGTAGATTAGGAAGTAGGGGTGCTCGGGTGACACGTGCTTGAGAATTCCAGAAGTCGAAAGGAATTCTATGTAGAGAAAAGCGCTTGGTCAGCAAAATCTGACTATAAATAGAGGCGTTCCGCGCAGTGAAAGATCAGATCGTCTCCGACTTCGGTCGAATACCGACACCACTCTGACAGTAGAGGTAAAGCTCTGCGCTGACTTGCATAGGCAAAGATAGAGCGCAAGAGTAAGACAATCCTTAATTTTCAGTAGCGACGTGCGAGACGCTTCAGATCTGTGGGCACCCTACTCATGGTCCGCAACGTGTTAACCAGGTGTTAGTATTGAGTCCATACTCAAGTATAAAGAGCTAGCGAGGAGCGGAGCTCCTTGAAACGGCCTGTACTAACATAGCTCTGGCTAGACCAGAAACCGATTGCTACATGTAGGCTAGAGTCCGCTCGTGTCTGAGAATACCGTACAAGTTACTGAGTTTGATAATTTCCAATACTTAGCGTGGTTGGCTATTATACAGAGTGTTGGCTGTATCCATAGTCTCAGTCGCGTACCAATACTAACATATATATTTCCTACTGTCTTTTTCATTTAGGGCGTACTCATTATAATTTCTTATTGTATTTCTTATCTAGCCCGCACACATTGTAATATTAACGTTACTATTTTCTTTTATATCTTGAGAAAGCTTATTTAGTTATTAGTTTCTACTTACTTGAATAAACCAGTAGTTTAGTACATTAATGTTTGGATTTTACTCCTTAACCGCGTACCACACGAACCTAGAATCCCTAATACTTCATACGAGTCGCCTTCTAAGGGAACCGTTCTCCCTATACGTCGGTGCAGTGACGTACCTATTCTGGAACGTTAAAGAAGAAGATAAGCAAGAAGGATAAACAAAGAGAGAAAGACTCGCAAACACAACATTTAACCGAATATTATGCTACTAAATGTTGACCGATTTATATTGTGTTTAGCTTCATTTTAATCAGAAAAATCTTCTCCACATGATAGTGAAATTTTTATTAACAAAAGGTGCAAAATAAAAAACTTTATTCTGTACATTAGTATGGTCACATTAACACGGGACATTTAAACGAAGGCAATAAATCCCGGTGTTCGAGCGTTCGTTAAAAAATTAAACAATTTATAAAACGTGCCCGATAGGGACCACCGAGGTGTTCTCTTCGGAGAATAAGATAACGTCGAGAAGTGTGAGGAGACGAAAATGTATCGCGTTCAAAAAGAAAGTCAGTCGTCATCAGATCTCGGGCGCGACCGGTCAAACAGTTATACCTTTATATCGCGTATTCGGGGCTAAACAGTTTTCTTTCATTGTAATTACGTAAATTCTTAATAAGACAGTATCTGATCATCTAAGAACACGTCGTCAACCACCAAATACCAATTAACGCCTCTCACGACGATAAAACATTATTTAACGTCTTTCACGACGGCTGGACGTCTCTCTGCGCAAGAGACTCCAACGGAACCTGGTTTCCGTACCATCATAATTGGACGTCTTTTCGCATGAGAGACTCCAACGGGAACTGTTTCCCGAAAAATCCGTTATCACGCGATTAGTCAATCGCTGATGGGCGCCCGACCGTATGTACACGAAATCATTCAAATCACGCGCGACACACTCACACTCAAGGGTTTTTTATGCCTTCGGGCTTTTTCCCTTGTTTAATACGAAAATAAATCATCACTTTTTATACCGGATCAATCTTGACTCGTAATTTAATAAACCAGCTTCGATTCATCCTGAACATCCTACCAAAACGTAAAATAACTACGACAGTTCTCCGAATTTCCATCCGGTCTTATCGCTCTCGAATGTTTAGAAAACTCGAGAGCCGAAACTAAAGGGGGAACGAATTCGAGGAGAGCTGAGATCGAGAGGACAGGCATTCTCGTTCCAGCCTTCTTGTATCGAACATACGAAAACGCTTCGGTTGAACGGTTTCGATCATACACCCGGCTTTAGTCCCTCTTTCGTCTTTAGCTACTGATTCTTACTAGTCAGTGTTTACTGACTAGACAATCAAATTCGGAAAATGATTCTCCTTTCATCGCAAGTGAAATTCGAGTTCATCGCAACTTTCACCTCTATATCTCCGCCCCCTTAAGACTTCGACACCTGGAATCACCATATTTGTGATCCTCATCCTCCAAACTATCCGACTATATAACCCCCTCCCCTGGGGGGGGGGGGGCAGCCCATATACTAAATCGGAGCCGAATCATTGAACTATTCCCACGTCTATTTTACGTCTGATGCGTGCAGATCGTAAATTTCGTTTTACGTCTTCCAGAAGTGATAAATTGTAAAAAATCGAATTTAAGTGATGTTGTGCTAGTTCAAGGAAGGGTGGTCTGGTGTGCTATCAGCGAGAAAACCATTAAATCGTCCAATATTTGCTAAAATGCAGCCGAACGCAGCATTCGGCAGCCATGTTGTTTGCTTACAACAGCGTCTGTCTCAATCTTACAGTGTCGAAAATACCATTTTTCTCAACGTATGGTGTTTATTAGCATTCAAACGGACCAGACCATGCTGTGGTGAAGTGTACCCAAGGGTGCTGTATCCGCGAAAATTTTATTTCTGCAATTATCGAGACGAAAAACGAAATCTATGAAATCGAGTGTCTCTCTCACGCATGGCGTATATGTGCATGCTTTCCGTTGATTGTGTGAGTGCACGCATACAGGTCATGGCACATGGAGTCTGTACCCTTAAGGGCACAGACTCCTTCGAGGCCTCCTCCGAATCGATATAAGCGCCATTGGAAAGAATCGGCCAATCATGAAAACACTTAATTGAGAAATTTGACATTTGACGGTGTGACATCTAACATCATTATGCAGAATAAGAAACGAAAGTGAGGTGGCGTAGTTGTCGAATCACATCATTTGAGAGATCTGTCGCGGTGTTGCCACATCTGTGACAATCCTGACCATCTAGCAAAATGAATTCACTCGAGCCGAGTGAGATTTTAATTCCAGGCGGACATAGAAAAGGACAGCGCGATAGAAAGAGAAGGAGTATCATGAATGAAACAACGTAGTACCGATCGGCAGAAATACATATGTTCGAGTCACACGCGACGACAGATTCGATGAGACTCTGTAATACACATAACGTACGCGACTATAAAACTTATACGAATAAAAACTACATGGCATTAATAATTTGAGAAAAGGAATGGAAAATAAACAGATGTAAATTGATCTATATATACAATTTATTCATTTAAATATTATCAATATAGGTATATAAATAATAATTAGACGGCCGCCCGTCGCCTGCCGCCCACTGCTCGCTTCTGCCTCTTCTTTCTCCGCGACGTCTGCATCGTCGATTACCATGACAGCCATCCCAGTCATGGCTATGGTATCGAATTTTTATCTGAAATATAATAATGGCTACTGTTGTAGACATAATTTCCATTTCATGAAAAATCTAATTCTGCCACATTTCTTACATAGAAGAATCAACGCTTTTACTTACTTGCGACGTTGACGGCCTCGGATTCTCCTTTCTCTTCCCTTTTATCCGACTTCGTTCCTTAGACCTCTTTCTTCTGTTTCTTCTATCCTCTTTCTTTTCTTCTTCTTCTTCCTCGTCCATCTGTGAAGAAAGCAATTTATGTATAGATAACGTAATATTAATTATGTAAGATTATACTTGCCGATTATACGTGATCAAACAGCATATTCGCAGTCCATTTGTCCTGTTAGGTAATGCTTTCTTGAATATACCTATATATAATTTTTTAATTTATTTCGAGAAGAGGAAAATGCTGTTTTTAATTTCTCAACGACAAAAATGTTCATGCAAAGATGAATGAAGATGAATGAAGATAAATATTGAAAAAAGAAAAAGTTAATGGAAATAGATGATATAGGACATTAATAATTTCATGAAGGGAATAAGAAAAAAATTGTTTCAGCTGAAAAAATAAATTTTGAGTCCAACGCTCGCTTCGCTCCAAAAAACCTCTTCTCGGGAATCCTTTCTTCGAAAATCTGTAACAAATTAAGAAATATAGTATGGCATCGCGTAACTCACGAGATCGTATGATCCGCGAGTACAATTGCTATTTCATGCAATTGTGAACCACCAACAGAGTTAGTGTTACTACACTTTACAGTGCATTGCGACGCCGGACAGTAACAGTATTTTTTATTACTGTCCGCATAAGACCTTTTTTGACTTTTCAAAGGTCACTATTTTAAAATGTGTATATCGGCGTCGAACAACTCGCGAGATCGTATGATCCGCGAGTACAATTGCTATTTCATGCAATTGTGAACCACCAACAGAGTTAGTGTTACTACACTTTACAGTGCATTGCGACGCCGGACAGTAACAGTATTTTTTATTACTGTCCGCATAAGACCTTTTTTGACTTTTCAAAGGTCACTATTTTAAAATGTGTATATCGGCGTCGAACAACTCGCGAGATCGTATGATCCGCGAGTACAATTGCTATTTCATGCAATTGTGAACCACCAACAGAGTCAGTGTTACTGCACTTTACAGTGCAGTGCGACGCCGGACAGTAGCAATATTCGTGCTACTTTCTGAGAGAGACCTTTTGCGCTTTTCCAAGCTTGCTCTCTCCTCTGTTATAAATTGAGGCTCCCGAATGGGCATTCCTCTATTGTACCGGCTATCTATTAATTCGGGTAACATGCACAATAAATAAAATTGAATTAATTTTGGCTCCATATTCTTTTGCCAAAAATTATCGTCTCTATCGACTCTAATGTACTTTAACCCTTTTCGGGTCCAAATACAAAATAAGCAATATTTTCTACCTGTGACATGTAATTGTCCTTGTACTTGGTAGTAATAGTAGTGGTTCCTGTTCAATTCATTTCCTTCTGCGTCTGCAAATATACGCCGAATAACTGCAACACTTTTGATTGCCTCCTCCGGCAATAAATTCTCCGCCGTTTTCGGACATTTGATTTCCACAATGCCCTCTTCGTCTATAAGTCCATCTGGCGAAGCTCCTAAGAACGGGATGGCACTATCAATAAATAATCCACATTCTTTAATTTCAACACCAATGCACACACTTAGTTGTTCACGTGCGAATTTTTCGCATTCCTGTCCATATTGTACTGCAGGTGCACTAATCAGTCGTGGATATACTAACGACTTCACTGAATTTCCACAGAGCGTGCCAATTCGACGACGGCATATTCGTCCGAAATTTGAGGCCGTCAATAATTTAGATTTGTAATTCAACCATCTCGGATTTTTCGCTTGACCGATGGTTTCTTCTTCAATGGCATCTCTTCTATTTTGCCAATTCTGTAACATTTCCATATGTTTTTTTTGCTCTAATTCATAAATATTGTTAGCCATATCCGGCTTTTCAGCATTTGGTCCGTAATTGGAATCCTTTTCAGAACGGAATTGTTTCCGCACGTGCTTTGTAATTTTTTTTTCCTTTCTCTTTTCACTGTATTTCTCATTTTCTTTCTTCCTTCTATTTTCTATTTTGCGTAAAATAACGGGCGGTTCCTTGTTCATCGCCGTATTCAGACGCGACAACACTTGTTTTGTGTTATACTGTAGGACAGCAGCAGCACATCTTCCCGTGTAAGATCCCCTCTCGCCGAAATTCAATCTTTTTCCTCCTGTATATTTTGCGATGATTCCGTTGAAACTTTCTACGGCATTATTGTTGCTGTTATACAGCAAACTCTCAGCATGCGCCAACAGAGGTCGAAGTATATCTTTGATTTGTTCGTACACTCCCATCTTCATCAATTCGGGAACAATGTTCTTTTCATCTTTTTTACTCGTTCCATCGCAGAAGTATTGTAGTTTTGAACAATCTGCGTGTTCACCAAAAACATGGCTAGGAACATTGTGTATGTCGGCATACAAATTCTTAATTTTTTCAGCGGTTGTTACTTGCTGACTGTATCTGTACTCTGCGGCTTTTACTATGTCCGCACGCATTCGCCGAATGCTGCTTTCAACGATTCTTCTGAATGGACCAGGTGTTGTCATCTTTACAACTTCTTTCATTTTTCTGCAAAAGTTTCGCAATAAATGATTCGTGCATTCAATTTTTTTTACACGAATCTGTGCTTTATATGGATCTGCATCTATAATTTTTTTATAAACGCTGCTGTCCCCATCAGCAATCAGTGTTGAATAAATCAGCCCACGTTTTTCTACGCTGGTCTTGAAGCCTTCGACTATAGCGTCACTTTCCATAGCCGTTGATGCTTGGCTTGCGCTCCAATTTTTAAAACAGGTGTGCTTTCGTGGCTCTTCTTTCTTTTTCGCAGCACATCGACAAATCCTGCACACTTTGTTTCTCACACCAATAAATAAAACTTTCTTCGTGTGATATCCAATTATAACGCCGACTCCAGACGCGGAATTGTACGTTCCAGTCCGGTATGATCGTTTCATCCAGCTTCCATCGGCCACAACGGGGATGTGAGGGATTCCACATCCGGAAACAATATCGCCTCTTTCAATGGCCAAGCGTTTTTCTTCCTCTGCCGCTGTTACCATTTCTTCTTCTGCAGCAACAATTAATGTTTTCACTATTTCATCGTGATGTTTTCTAAATTCTTTCTTCGACATGGAGGGTATGTTCATCGCTGCAAGGAACTCTTCCATTTGGGCATAACTGGCTCCATTCACAATTGTTCCAGCAACGGCACACTGGTTTGTTTCCATGTGATTGCTTTCGTCAGGTTCGCTGTGGATTTCACCTGTATATTTGCACATATCGCATATTACACTGAGGGTGGTCCTCAGACCCGACCGTTTCATGCCGGTTATTTTCAGGTGTCTAATTCCACAGTCTTCCCTGTTTTTAGCATGGTCACCTATTTTTTGAAATTCGGCAAAGATGTGCTGCATGTCCACGATACTCAAGCCACTTGGTAGACAGAATTGTTCTTCAGGCTCGTTCGTTACAACTTTCTGTATCATCAATTCTTCATTTTCTGAATTTGTGCCTTCCATATTTATCCCATCTTCAGCATTGTTTGTTTCTTCAATTTCAAACAATTCATTCGTCGTTTCTTCAAAAATTTCTTTACAATTTGCCGTATTCTGAAGGGCTAACCGCCGCCTTCTTTCGCGGCATGCTCTTTTTTTCGAGTATCTTCTCGTATGAACTGTTAATTTTGGCCGCCGACTTGTATTTGCCATCACACATTGCTGTTCGCATTCATTTCTCCTATCTTCAATCACTTCAATCGTGAAAACATTTTCACTATCACTCATTGTCACTATCACACAACAATATTCACCTATCACTTTGATCACTACACACTTTCAAAGCTTTGAAATAAATTCAATGATGTTATCTATTTCTTGCTTCGAAAGCAACTGTCGCGAAAACGTAAAATGCACTACGGAGAAACATAGGGCACCGTGGTGGGGAGTGTTTATGAGGACTACGAAAAATAAACGACATCAATATTTATTTTAAAAAAAAGTTTTCTACTTGTATTCATTTATAATATTATGATTTTAAATTATTAAAAAAATATATAACATGAAAATAAAAATTCAATACGTAAAATCAGAAATTAGAAATTAGAAAAGGGTCTATTTTATAAAACAGTGAACACGGTCCTGATCCCCACCAACATTCGAGTGGTTTCAGCATCAACGACAAAAGACAATCAAAAGACAAGATGTCAGACCAGGAGGTGCGTATAATCGGCCAGTGAAATATTATATCATTAATATTACGTTATTTATATATAAATTACTTTCTTTATAGATGCAGATAGATGAAGAAAAGAAAGAGGAAAGAAAAGAAGAAAAGGAAAAAGAAGAAGAAAAGGAAAAAGAAGAACACAAGGAAGCGAAACAAGGAAAAGAGGAGAGCAAGGAGAAGGCGTCGACGTCGCAAGTAAGTAAAAACGTTGATTTATCTATGTAATGAATGTGGCAGAATTAGATTTTCGTGAAACGGAAATCATTTCTACAATAGTAGCAAATGAATTTCCACGATTATTTTTGGTTTTTTAATAATGTCACAATCTTACATAATGGAATATATAGTCCGCTACAATTATATTAAAATTCATTATTATATTTCAGATCAAGAAGATGTTAAAAAAAATTTTATATAGCGGCGGCCGCGGCGGCCGCGGCGGCTATCGTGGTGGTCACGGCGGATATCGCGGTGGCAGGCGCCGAGGGCGACGAGGAGGCCGTCGTGGTCCTCCTCCTGGAGGAGAATACGTTTTTAATTTTTATAAGTAAATAAAAAATTTCAAGAAATTACACATCTGTTTATTTTTTATTCCCTTCGTAGCGGATCTCCGGCGAATAATCGCGTCAGACTCGCGGGTGAGAATATTCGCGACGAGACAGACAAAACCGATGTCATTCTGTGCGACAAAACACAGTCCGTCTCGCCATCTTGCTTTCTCACTCGCACGTATTACGCCGTCCGCGCGATCAGTTGTCACCGGCGAGCATCGGCCGCCGATTATTTGTTTTATATTTATAGGACGCGTTTAGAATTAATGTAAGAATTACTCAATAATTGTTGCATTCTCACTACCTCCGCTTCACCT